CGCGCCCGACCGTGAATCCGCGCGTTCCCGGGTAGACTCGGCATGCCTATCCCCCCCTATCAATACCCCTGGGGCGAAGAGGCCCGGCGCCTCGAAGAGACTCGAAAGCTTGGAGTCTCAAAGACTCGGGGAAACTCGGACCTAGGCAGCTGCGGGGGGGGAGGAGGAGGAGGAGGAGGAAGGAACGGCCACGAAGCATGTGAGGGACGCGTTAAACAATTAGCCCATTAATTTCAATGTTCTGCCTGCTCGAAAAAAAACATGTACAATCAAACTCCAATCGGTCCCCATGGCCTTGCCACAGGTTCCTGACTCGGGAACGGCTGAGAAAGTGAGAATGCCATGGCCCCGCCGCACGTTCGTAACTTGGGCAAACTGAACTGGTGAAAATCCCACAGCTCTGCCACACGCTCGTGTTTGCGGACGCTGGTGTGGTGAGACCACCATGGCCATGCTCAGCGTTCATGATGTTGTTGCTAGTCCACATGAGATGCTAGCAACTTCGATTCGCAACTTCCCCCGTGGATTAGGAAGTCCAGCATCTGCGCCCATCTCCACAATGAAATCCTGGCGGACGGAGGTAATAAAAAAAGAGGCAGAAAAGGGTGGCATTTTATAATCGCCTGCACTCGGTTCTTCGGAACGAGCGGGGCCGCGGAAATGCGGCCAATGCTGCAGCGGGAGCACGACCCGGAACGAGCAGGAGCCCGAAAATGAAACCAACGCCTCAACGGGAACAACACTTCGGACACAAAACGGAATCCTGCGTAAAAAAACAGCATGCGGAGGGGGCCAGACATCTTTCTGACGTCATCAGGGGAGAAAGGAGAATAGTAGTCATATTGTGCTACTGTGGAGGAGGAGGAGGAGGAGGAGAAAGAGGAGGAGGAGGAGGAGGAAGTGGAACCGGGGGGAAGGTGGTGGTGGGAAGGGGGGAGCAGAAGGAGGAGGAGGAGCAGGAGGAGGAGGAAAGGAGGGGGAAAGGGAGGGAGGAGGGCGGAAGGGAGCGGGAAGGAGAGGTGGAGGAGGAAGGAGGAGGGGAAAGGAGTGAGGGGAAGGAGGACGAGAGGGGGGGGAGTGAGGAGGAGGAGGAGGAGCGAGGAGGAGGAGGAGGAGGTGGTAGGAGGAGGAGGAGGAGGAAAGGTGGAGGAGGACGGGGGATGGGAGGAGGAGACGGAGGAGGAAGAGGACATGGAGGGGAGGAGGAGGAGGCGAAGGGTGGAGGGGAATAAGGAGGAGGAGGAGGTGAAGGGGAGGAGGAGGAGGAGGAGGAGGTGGGAGGAGAAGGAGAGGAGTGAGGTGAGAGTTAGGAGAAGGAGGAGGAGGAGGAGGAGGAGGTAGGGGAAGAGGAAGGAGGAGAGGGGGGGGGGGGAGGAGGAGGCAGAGGAGGTACAGGAGGAGGAGGACGACCGACGACGACGACGACGATGACGAGGAGGAGGCGGGGGAGGAGGAGGAGGTGACGAGGACGAGGAGAGGAGGGAGGATGAGAGGAGTGGGAGGAGGAGGAGAAAAAGGAAGAGGAAAATGAGGAGGAGGGAGGAGGAGCAGGAGGAGGAGGTGGAGGAGGAGGAGGAGGAGGTGGAGGGGAGGGGCGGGGGAAGGAGGATAGAGGCAGAGGAGGGGGAGGAGGAGGAGGAGGAGGAGGAGGAAGGAGGAGGTGGAGGAGGAGGAGGAGGAGGAGGAGGAAGGGTGGAGGAGGAGGAGCAGGAGGAGGAGGAGGAGGAGAGGAGGAGGAAATGGAGGAGGAGGGACGGGGGAGGGAGGAGGAGGAGGAGGAGGACGGTGGAGGAGGAGAGGGAGGAGAAGGAGGAGGGGGAGGTGGGGAGGATGGCAGGAGGAGGAGGAGGAGGAGGAGGAGGAGGAGGAGGACGAGGAGGAGGAGGACCAAATAGGCTAAATGCAAAGCGACAGGAGAGTCGCGTGGGAGACACCCCTTGGCCAGAAGGAGGAGCACGAGCCTCCGCAACCCCAGGGTTGTCAGCGCCGCAGGAGGAACACGAGCCTCCGCGGCGCGAAGCTGCCGCTGCAGGAGGAACACGAGCCTCCGCAACGGGGGGGGGCGCAGGAGGAATACGAGCCTCCGCGCCCCGAAACCAAGCGAGCCGCAGGAGGAACACGGGCCTCCGCAGCCCTCAAGACTTGGCCGTTTTCTCGGGCAGCTCCCCGAGCATCAAAACTTGGCCAACTTCACGGGCCAGCCTCGCCGTTGTCGAACAGCTGCGACGACTCGAAGCCCGCGCCGCAGACCTCCCCACAGGCGGCCACATGCGCGGATCGGACCTCCGCCAGCTGGGACTCCAGCATCTTCACGGCGCACGCGGTGCCCAGGACCATCTGCTTGGCAGCGCTGACGGTCAGCGGCAGCCGCTTCTCCCCCTGAAGGTCCTCATGGCCGATCTGCACAAGCGAGTCCGAAACCATCGCGACCTTCAGCGTGTCGTCGGCCTCGGCCTCGTTGGTCTCCGCCAAGTTGAGACGAGATATCTCCAGGGCCAGCTCATGAATGGCCGAGCCCATCGCCTTCACCTCCTCGGTGTCCTGGCAGACAGAGGCGCACATTAGGTCCTCCTTCAGCTCGCCAATTTGCTTCGCAACTGGAATCAACGAGACCTCCTGACTCAACTCCTTCTTGGCCCCCAGATCGTCATCGACAAAGGGGGGCGATGCTGCGTCGCCAGCGCCACGCCGGCGGCCCCGCACTCGGCGCTTGGCCTCCTGGGCCGTGGCCGGCGCCGCGTGGGGCCCAACACCGAACTCAGAGTGCTGGGCCCAGCCGCGGAAGGCGCGGCTGGCCCCAGAAGGCCGACCCAACACGCCTTCGCGGCCCGCCTTCACCATCACGGTAAGGTGGGGCCTCCCCAGCCGCTCGCGAACCAAGACTTCCTGCTCCACATCGGGGTCGACACGTGGGGCGAGCAGCTCGGCGCCCGTGCGGAGCGCGGATGCGACCGCGGCGGCGGCATGCTGCCGCCCGCCGCCACCTTCAGCCGCCCCCGCCGCTGCCGCCCTCACCAGCGGGGCGAGCAGCACCACCGCCTCCCCGTCAAGGGGCACGACCGTCGCCATTGCCCGAGACGCGGCGGGAAGCGCGCGCCCGAAGCCAGCTGGAGCCAAAATGGCTTACGGAGGAGGGGGAGGAGGAGGCGGACGAGGAGGAGGAGGAGGAGGAGGAGGAGGAGGAGGAGAAGGAGAAGGGGGAGGAGGAGGAGGAGGCGGAGGGAGGAGGAGGAGGAGGAGGAGGAGGAGGAGAGTGAGGAGGAGGAGGGGAGGAGGAGGAGGAGGAGGAGGAGGAGGAGGAGGAGGAGAGGAGGAGGAGGAAGAGGGGAGGAGAGGAAGAGGAGGAGGAGGAGAGGAGAAGGGGGAAGGAGGAGGAGGAGGAGGAGGAGGAGGAGGAGGAGGAGGAGGAGGAGGAGGAGGAGGAGGAGGCGGAGGAGGAGGAGAAAGAGGAGAAGAGAGGTGAGGAGGAGGAGGAGGAGGAGGAAGAGGAGGAGGAGGAGGAGGAGGAGGAGGAGGAGGAGGGAGGAGGAGGAGGAGTGAGGAGGAGGAGAAGGGGGAGGAGGAGGGGGAGGCGGAGGAGAAGGAGGAGGAGGAGGAGGAGGAGGAGGGAAGGGAAAGCCTCTAGCGGCGCAGGACAGCACTGGGCGGCGGAACGCTCCGGGACAGGGCCGGGCGAGAAGGTCCGCAGCGGTGCGGGGCAACTCCTCTTCGAGCTGTAGAAGAGAGGGCATCCAGAGAGCGAGCTGCTCAGGAGTCCCCGAGGACAAGGACTAGGCAGAAAGAGCAGGACGACGAGGAGGGAGGAGGGAGAGGGAAGGCGAGAAGGGAGGCGGAAGGAGGGGCGAAGGAGGAGGAGAACCACCCCTCCTCCTCCTCCTCCTCCTCCTCCTACTCCACCTCCTATATCTCCTCCCTCCTCTTCTTCCTCCTCCTCCTCCTCCTCCTCCTCCTCCTCCTCCTCCTCCTCCTCATCTGCATCCTCATCCGCCTCCTCCTCCTCCTCCTCGTCCTCCTCCTCTCCCTCCTCATCCGCCTCCTCCTCCTCCTCCCAGGAAAGAAGATATGACATGAACGAAACGGGTCCTGGCGGAAACGAGTCCTGGACCCATGGTGTTGCCTAGGATCAGCTTTAAGCTTTCCATGCTGAATCGTTGTTTGACCGTCCAGGGACCCAGGGCCCCGAGAGCCCGAAAACTGCGAAAGAACTCCAGGACCACGTCCTCCAGGACTGTGAGTCCTCAGGGCGAAATGAGGGACAGGAAAAAATGGGGATGAGCACGAAATAGGAAGGGTACAGAAAAAAGGAATGAGAGAGAAGGAAGGAGAAGAAGCGAGGAGGAAGGATGAGGGTAAAAGGAGGAGGAGGAAGAGGAGGGAAGGAGGAGCAGGAGCAGCGGGATGCAGGTACGCGACGCCGCTTTGGAGGAATCCCCAGGGGCACGGACCCTGCCCTCCTCGAAGACCTCCGCGCGCGGCGAGGGTGCCGACGACGACGAAGACGGCCTGGACGACGACTTTCACGACTAAGGCGACGAAGACGGCGCGACAACGACGGCTACGACGACGACGACGACCACGACGACGACGACGACGACGACAACGACGACGACGACGACGACGACCACCACGACGACGACCACGACCACGACCACCACCGCCACGACGACGACCACGACCACGACCACGACCACGACGACGACGGCACCCACGACAATGGCGACCACACAGCAAAACGAAGATGGGAACCGCGACGACGACGTTGGCGAGGTCGTCGACGACGACCACCAACACAGTAACCGCGACGACGACCGCGACGACCACAACAGCGACCAAGACGGCCACAAAGACGGCGGCGAGAACGAGGACGCGCACGACGGCGACGCTGACGAGACCGACGACGATGGCGACCACAAAAACCGATACGACGACCATGACGAGCACGACGGCAACGGGCCGCCGATCGCTCGCTGGAGCCCGCGCGCAGCGGCCGGAAAGGGGGC